TGTAATCATGACTATGTTATGAACAGTGCGTTCTGCCGGAGAATTTACAGTTTTGTGAATTAACCGGTAGAGCTTAAAATGAGCAAAATAATTTTAGGAACATAATTTGAAAATTCTGATGACAAATATGAGTTCAGAACGAAAAATTGTATAGTCTGGCACTTTCCGTGAAAATCTCGTGAATAGTGTTTCTACTGGGTATTTTGTACTGTTGTTTAAGCAACCGGTAGAGTCCAGAAATAAATAATTGATGAAATAAGAATAAGAAAGTCCAATATATGCCAAGCAAGTCAATATAGGCCCAAGAAAATGATAAGTTTATAAGTTTTAAGTTTCGTAAGTAAAGGAAGTACAATTAGTGATGCACAGTGCATTTCGTCAAAAACGGTGCAAAAACCATACTGTGAATTATGAATATTGTTCCTTAGGAAATAAAAAATTAATGTAAATGATTTTAGGAAATAAAAAATATGTTTGTAGCTTTGAGTTAGTTCCGGGTCAATTTAAGTTAAAATACGCGATAAAAAAACATCCGATGAAAATGGCCACATGTGCCTATATAGCCTTGTCACTTAAATGAAACACTATTCATTTCAGATTTTCTTCTTCTCTCTCTTGCATGGCCGAGCTGCACATGGAGGGGAAGGGGCTAGGGTTTCAAATTTTCCTTCTTTGATTTCTTCATCATCCATCCACCAAATCCAATGACCCACCACATGAAATTGATTGGAAACCACTCAATGAATCCATTCCACCTATCCATTTGAGCTATAGTTGAGTGTGTGAAGAGTTATTCCTCCTCTCATTTTCGAGTTACTATTCATTGGAGGAGAAAAAGTGAGTTTTTGGATGAAGCTTGGCTTGGAGATTGCTCTCTAGGCTTTGTACAAGTGTTTAGAGGTAAGAAACCTCTATTTCCATGATATTATTTTGATGATTTAAGTTATGAAATTGATGAGCATATTTTGTTGGGAAATAATTGATGTTAGAATGTGAAATTTATGATGGATTATTGTTGTTTAGGAAGTTATAGTGTTGAGTAAGCATCCACATGTGATATAAAAATTTAAAAGTCCTATTGCATATTCCTCCTAGGTTTCGGCCATCATGGAGTGAGTAGGAGTTATTGTGGAAAAAATTATATTATGTATTGTGAAGGTATAGTGTGTTGGAAATGAGTGAAAATGGATGAGTTAGTAAGAATGCCTAAGTAAAAAGGACTTGGTGTCTAAACTCAAAATAGGAATTTAGTGGAAGCATTCCTAGGTGTTTGCAAGTTGTAATGAAGTAACGAAAATGCATTGTAAAAGAGAAGGATCTTTGGAAATTCCCCTTGTAGGATTCGACCTATAGGGTATTTAGGGACATATTTTGTACATTTTATTGTAAATAAAATGTGTTGTAACAAATTGTATAAAGGTGATGAGTTTTGAAGAAAAATAGCATGATTTATGTTGAAAATTCCTAAGGGAATGGTTGATTAAATTAAAGAACACCAACGGTTATAAAGAGGTCTAGACTTGTGTATTGGCATAGGATTGGCAAAAATGCAAAGAAAGGAAAATAAGCGATAAAATGTATGCTTATGAAATAATTATGGTATTGCATCATTTTATTGATGCATTGTAAATTATTCTCTAGGTGTGCCTAGGGATTGAGAAGGATCGGAAATCTCTTGAAGCGATAAAAGTAACTTGTTCCACAAGTAAGCGTATTGGTAAAGCTTCAAGAGGTAAGCTCTATGTTTAAGGAGTCTTTTCCTGCTTGAGTGCTCCACCATGGTTAGTGAACTATGGTTGGACTATATGACTGTGATTTAGATGCTTTGTATAGATGCATTCATATAGAGTTATTTGATAACATGATATGTTTTGCTCTGATGTGACTTCTGTAATTTGATTTCTGTAACAATCTCTGGCCATTGATTGTATAGTACCCGGACGTCCGCTTTGGGGTCCTCCCTCGGGACTGATGGTGTACTCCTCTGATATGTCTGGTTCCGCTTTGGGGTCCTCCCTCGGGAACACGTGCGTTGATTTCCGCTTGGGGTCCTCCCTTGGGAATGACGGCGCACATCTCTGATATGATATGGATATATGCTCTGTTCTGTTATGATATCTGTTATATGTTGTATTTGTATACTCTGTATCTGACTTTCATGCAGGAGTGAGCCAGGGGTATGGAGAATTCTCTATAAACCTGGAGCTTATTGAGATTTGTAATCTCACCCCTCTTTGGGGACACATTTTCAGGTGCCCAGATTTCCGGTGAGTCCTCACTAGGCAGGGACACGACACGTGGCTGAGGCAGTTGACAGACCGGATTTTGAGTGGCTGTAGGCTGCTACCTTTTTGGAGTGTTTGATGTATTTTAGTATTTTCGCATTTGATGGATCATGATATTGATCCTTTATTTTGTATATGGCCTGTATATGTTTTGTACATGTCTGTCAGTTTGATGCATGTACATTTGGGTATTCAGGAACGTTATATGATGATGTAGTATTCAGATAGGTTTATGTTTTGATGGCATGCTGTTAGATTTAGCGGCACGGAGCCATGTTATGCATGCGCCCATGTATGGGTATTCGATTATATTTGGATATCTGGTATTTCCGAATTGATATGTTGTATAAACTGTTTATCAGGAAATGCTTCTGAGTGGGATTGGAAAATCCCCAGTTGTCCGCTTTATAGAGGAAACTCTGCCCGATTTTCGTTTACGCCGAGAAAGAATTAAGTTAGAAAAAGAAAAAGTTAGCTCATATTTTCGTAAGTTAAGTCTTCCGCTGTTTTCTGTTTTATCATATGTATGTTAATTGAACCGGCTCGAGACGGGGATGTTACATCGGTGCTTCATAGGCTGAAGCTAATAGTGGGCTGGCGCTGGTGGGCACATACCATCCCAGGAACTGGCGAAAACAATAAGTGATTGCCGGTGCAAAAAACATGTCTGCTTCTCATCCATTTCTTGTAAGTTCTTAATGAAATAACATAGATTAAGCACGAAAACAGTCCCTTCGTTTACCTTATCTTAACAAGTTAGGCAATCAAAGCTCAAATTTTTTCTTGAATATTAAACGATCGATAAAGGTTATATCAAATATCAATCATGCCTTGCAGAACCAATATCAACTATACATACTGTTCTTAGTTGGTTTCTGCATTACTTATGCATAGGAAATTTTGTCATAACAGCACTGAACAGGTCAGAAACTTGGGTAAGTCATGCAGTTCGCAAGCCACGTATTTATGTTCCTTCAGACATGCATTAACAACGTGATGACAATCAAATTAGTAACAACCAGTAGTAGAACATTGAATGCAGAACTTACTGATCATATTAGACAACTGATAACTTGATTTCTGATGACGTTGCAAGTACAGTAGGTACTTGATAATATAACCTAAAAATATGAATACAATGAGATTGATTTGGAACTCATAAAAAATGAGCTACAGAAAGTGCAAGGAACTAAAACTAAGGATATGATAATAGCAATGATTCATCTGGCAGAAAAAAGAAAAAACGTCATTTCAGCACTGGCAGAAGTTGTCATGTTATCATAACAAGACTCGGTGGAAAGCCAATAGAAAGTATAGAATCAACAACTGCACTGGCAAAGAAAGAACACAGGACCTTACTTGTGGAGCTGTTTCAGATAAGCAAATTAGATGTGGAGAATTGTAGTGCAAGATGCGACAAGGAGGACAAAAGAACTGAGGGAAGCAAATAAATCTGCCATGAAGCTGATAAAAGAAAAGATGAAAAAGAGAATGTTCCATGATTGTTCAAAAATAAGTGGTGGACCTATAGACTCTCCTTCAGCAGCAGAGACAAAACTGAATAAGGTGTGCACACAGATTCAATAGTTAGGTGACCATAATTTTCTATTTCCTCTTGTTTATCCTAACTAGAATAAATATATTAGATATTAGCAAAATCTTTAGCAGGAGTACTGACTGTCAAAGTGTTACACTAACATCGTATTAAAAGATTTGGATAGAAGTAACCAGCATTCTTTTTTGTGTCTAGAAGATCTTTAGAAGGATAGAAGAACATAAACAAGCATTTTACCGGGGTTTAAATATATTAATATGATTACCAGAAGTGTATACAATACATATAAAAGTGAAAGGCAACGGGCCAACAATATGGAGAATAAAGACTTAGCCCAGTGATTTCACTAAAAAGGAATAAGAACTCAGCTAAGTGGTAAGAATAATCTAGCCTATGTCCACAGAGTAGGAAAATAGTGATACAATGAATAATGAAATCTTGCTCAATTTGATCCAACTGGATAGCATGTAAAAAGTCATATCAGTCTTGGCCATCGACAATGATAACGTTGATGTGTCTCCACCATCTTTTGGCAATATGATCAACATATCTAAACTCAAAAGTCTTGTTTTGATTTAAAATAAGAAAAGCATCAAATGCCAACGGGAAAACAAAAACAAAAATATAGATATCGGGAAATAGAGCTAAACTAACAAAAGTTATGAATTCCGAAAATTAGAAAAAAGTAAATCATTCAACGTTTATGCTTAGAAGTCCTAAGAATATATATATATATATATATATATATATATCATCGTGACATCAAGAGCAGAACACAATACTAGATTTGATGAAAAATCTTTGGCCCCCAAGGAACATGTACTGCCCTGTTTTGTCCATCATCTTTCAACTTCAGGATGATTCATTGTCTTGGCCTCACACTGCATATCATAATAAACAACAACCAATTAATAAGCAATCATGGAATATAAAATTAGTCCACCAAATAAATATAAAACTACAGTACACAAAGGATCAGTAACATACACGAAATCATGACATTGCTTTCTCTGTCAAGTAAAACCAAGCTCTTTCTGAAATTACTAGCACATAACATTGTACTTTTCATCCAAAGACTCTGAATCTCTTGACTTTTCAGATCAAATGAATGCAAGGGCGCTTCTATTCCACCATGTAATTGGAGTTGGAGCACTAAAACCTCAGTACCTGTGAGTCCCACTAGCTGTGTAATCCCTCCCCGTAAAGAAACACTATAAATCTTACTCCATGACTCTCTCCACATCCATATGTCACAGTTAGTGTTATCCATAAACTTGTCGGGGTATTCTATAAGTGAGAGGCAATCATCAATCACAGTAATTCCCAACTTGCTCAAGTACAAAACACTCAACTGCTGTGGAACCTCAATCTTGTTGAACTTCTCCTCTGCTACATTGAACATCAATATGCAATGCTCCATTCGGGTATAACGATCATCATGACAGAGAAGCCAATAAACATTCCCATTAAAAAATAATTGTTCATGGCAATCATTGACAGTTAATTTTATATATGAAGAATCAATAAATCTCCAAGCATGCTCTTTGAGGGAATACAACTGTGCCATGATGCCACCAATTTCATAATAAACACGCACAACCTTGAAATCATCATTTTTGGAATCAAACCCAAACCCAAGACAGGATCTGTAAATGGGGAAAAGCTGCTTTGGGAGCTGGACGTGTCTGTCTATGAAAGGGTTACAAAGGATGACATCAGATTCAGAATCGCAAGAAAGGCAAACGACGCCGTTGAGGGCACCAACGAAGTTGGAGTATCTTGTAAAATTAACTGAAGCTGAGTAACGGGTATAGGGTGAGCAGATAGAATAGTAACCGTCATTTGTGGGAACATGCAAATAGCGGCCAAGGAAGAATGGAGGAGAGAGGAGGGAGCGTTGGAGGTGTGAGGATATGAAGCTGTGACTTTTGATCATAATGTTCCATGATTTGCACACTGACATGCATTTCCCAATGCTTTCGAGCGGTAGGCGAAGAAGGATTTCCTCAACGACGGCTTCGGGAAGAAACTCACACATTGCGACCTTGTGAATTGTGATTGTGAGGGGGAGAGCTCGCAAGAGAGTTTTGGGTAATTTTCCTCTCTCTCTCTCCAGTGGGTCAAGATTAAAAAGGGCAGTGCTATGCAAAATAAAAAAACTGAACCACGATAAATAACGTAACAGTGACCATTTTGTCGGGCAAAATTTTTTATCAAAAACAACAGTAAATTTTGTCAAACATGCGGTATATTTTGTTACAGTGTAGTGAAATATGTTTGCATATAATTCGCTACACAGTGTAGTGAAATATGCCATGTCAGGCTGCACAGTCAACAAAAATGACACGCGTCAAGCAGGTAAAATCCAAGCATAATTCGCTACGCAGTGTAGCAAATTTCTGTCTGCTTGACGCGTGTCATTTTTTCTAACTGTGCAGCCTGACATGGCATATTTCGCTACACTGTGTAGCGAATTATATCCAAACATATTTCGCTAAACAGTGTAGCGAAATATGCCGCGTGACATTTTAACAAAATTTATTGTTGACGTGGTAATTTGGTAAAATTTTTTGCAAGCGTGGCAGAATAGTCACTCTCCCCACAATAACAACCCTCCTAACAAACTAAACAAAAAAACTGGTTTTTTTCAAACTAGTTCGTAAAGTTGAAACGGTTTTATTTTTTAAAATAATTTAATTACGAATAGTTTCAAAACTGATTTGTAATTGGGTCGAATCAAACCAAACCATTTTACACATAACATATATAACTCATCGTTCAAATTCAAATCATCGATCCTCGTTGGAACCTAATCTTCTTTTGCTCATGAGTCTAATCTAAGCAAATTGTCATTAAATCAAACTTGTAGATGAAGATTGTTATGCAAATTTACTCAACACTGTCTTCAACTATAAATGGGGGAGACGTACAAAGTCTAAACCCTATTCAAAGATAATAATATTATGGACTATATCCATATATCTTAACAGCATATTCATTAAAGGATTATGATATGTCTTATTCATATCTCAACAATGAAGTATGTTAAGGATCAGAGGATAAGACTTTTATCTCTAGCAACTAAAGGCAAAGTCCCACATCAACTGGGAAATCTAAACAGCTCGAGATTCAGTACACATTTTTAACTTAATTATTGTTACTGCCAATGCACACACCTACGTTTTGGTTATATGTCCATTGATAGTGCGCAGTGTGATTAGAGTATTGACTATAAGCTAATCAGAATATTTTTCTCTAAAATATCTGCATACCATACTGTATAATATAAATCCTCAATTCTCTAGAACCGTAGTATAAATTATGTAAGACGTAAACTAAAAGGAAACAAAAACCATTATAAATGAGTTTAGACAAACAACTAAACATCTTTCTTCGCCGTAGTTTGGTTGATAAGTTCTCCATCCAACTGCATAATTCATATATTACAAGGCATAGCCCAAAGGGAACTTACATTCTTAGGTCTGAGTTGTATGCAGTATTTCTGAATCAAAAGATGCACTGCCTCGATATCCATGGCTCTGAAAAATTTCATCATAGTTTTTAGTCTTTCCCAAGATTAGCACTGTAGTGAGCACTGGATTCAAGTTTTTTTTGCCTCATTGAATAGTTGTGATGTTGAAATATGAAAGTTGCAATTAGTAAGGGCAGCAAAAAGTAGCATAATAAAGACACAGCAGCTTGATTACGTATGGATCCATAAACTTGAGTTTATATATTTGGGAATGTATTATAATACCCTAGTTCGTGTCTTGAATACCTTCTATTTATTATAGTTTAGTTTTTTTTTGGAGTGTAATAATATTATATTCAGTTGACGAACAATATTATCGTCAATTGTTGAAAATTATATTCAATTTTCTCAACCATATTGATCGTGTCCTACCTGTTTAATTGTGGTTCTTACTTTCATTTATCTGTTCTGGAGCTATAGTGTTGTTTTTGGATAACTAGTATATAGTAATTATTCTCAAGAAAATCGTAAGAGATTTAAGAAGTAAATAATGAATTGGCTAACAAATCAAGTGATGCGCCAAATTTTCAAATTACGATATATAAATCTTTTAACTTTTAGATACTAGCAATCTAATGTTGCCAGAAAATTGATAAATAATGAAGGTTTAAATCTGTCAAAATGATAAAAAAAAATTATGGAGGTTTATGACCTCTAGGAAGTTATAAATGTTGTGGAGGTCTATAAGTGACATTTGTGGGGGTTCAAAACCTCCAAAAATGATAATATTTGTGGCAGTCTGGAACCTCTAGAAAATGTAATATTTGTGGGGTTCAAAACCTCCAAAAAATACTTAAACAAATTGTGACGTTTCACACAAAGTCGCCACAAAATGTGTTGTGGCTCATGCAAAAGTGAAGGTTTATGTGAATGTCACAAATGTCTTTTGTGAGGTCAAAGACTCCTATAATTTACAAATCTGACTCCCACAAAATACCTTAATTTTTATAGTGAAGTTTCGCCATAATAGCAATGAACCGTTAAAAGACTTGGTCATTGATAAGTCATGCCGTTAGCAAGCCACATATTATGTTCCTCCGAACAATCATCAACAAAGTGATAGTCATCAAATTAGTAAACAACTAGAACATTAATGCAGAATTTATTGATCATTGCTAGACACCATATAACTTAAGTTTCCGATGACACTACAGCACTAGCTAACGAGAACTCAAATGGTATAACTACATATGGCCACAAATATGACCCATGAAAGCGCAACAGTAAATTAACTTATTAAGAACTCTTTCTTTACATTTATCTCACGGAACTAGAGTAGTTCAAGCTTTCCATTTATTTTTTAGGAAAATTAAGTGGGTGAACTGAGGTAAAAACAAATTCTATATCAAGAGAACTAACCACAATTTCATAACACTTTTGAAACAATAAAAGATTCTTAATCTTAGATATACATTTTCTTTCCCGTCTTATATCATTGGATTTTCTTTCCTTGCCCTCTTTGCAGAGTTTGCCTTAGTTAAATATGATATAACGTCCACTTAAATAGAATCATCTTTGGACTTCCTTCGTGCTAGGTGTTCAAGATCAAATAAATCACAAATAACATAATCTAGTTATGGATATTATACCGAATTGTATATTTGCCAAAAGTTCCATGGATTTATATATCTAGACAACTTTCTTCACTTGGATTTGCCGCGTGCCATTGCTTGACAATTTTATATGGTCTACTTCGACAAGGCAGAAGGTTATCATGCTGAGATTGAGGAAATTATGTGAGTAGAAGCATATATAGGACCATGCATTAATATAAAATTGTTGTCATACTGTTTTGATGAAATTACTATTTTATGCATATGCGTACGCAACACAAATTTGTAATAGAAGGAATTGTGTTTTCACAGGCACAGAGAACAACCTTGGGGCAGTAAAAAGAAAAATCTGGATGAACTTATCGACAAACTCAAGAAACCCATGAGCTGTATCTACCTTATCTTTTCCTATCCTGACATCCAAAAAAATATTTTCTTGACCATATACTTAACCATAGGTATTTTTTTTTTTTTCAGAGTGGGTTGTATCAAGATTTTAGAAGTGATAGATAAGATGTCTCTATATCTAGGAAAAGCCGATTTGAAAGAGTAATGATCACACTTAACCTAATTAATTTATTGTTTATTTCTAGCCCAATAATTTTGCTATAGAGAACATTTATTTTCATCCCGTTTTAAAGTCTCGCTCTTATCTATCTATTTATCTATATATACAGTAACGGAGTCAGAATTTAATTTTAGGTAGGGTCAAAAAAAATTGACATATCAAATTATCAAAAATAATTCATAATTACATAAATTTAATAGGAAAAAAATTTACATAAAATTTTCAAAGTAATATGATGGGTGTTATTTTAACAAATAATAGTTATTTATTTAAAATTTAGAATATAATATAAAATAAAATTAGTAAAGAAAGTACAAATTATATATACATATATAAAATTTTCATGTGATTTTTATGCACATTTTCATGTGATCTTTGATAACATTATTTCATGTGATTTTAATGAAAGCATATTTCATGTGATGTTAATAAAAATTGATTTCATGTGGTCTTTGTGAATAAACTTTTTTTGTTTTTTATATTTTAATTTAATTTGGGCCTACAAACTTTAGTTTGCAACTTTGTAGGCCTTACAAGTCGGATTCGGTTTTTTTTAGTTTTTTATAATATGGCAGGCCATAAATCAAGTATTTAATAGACTAATAGGTCAATATAGGTTCCAAATATTTTACATAGACTTAGGCTATCAAAGCCAAAGATTGGCTTAACTTGGCCCATTTATACCCCTAGCCGCGTGACCTGTGAAGAACATTAACATAGAGGGACAACAAACTTCACAGTTAAAAAGAAACATAGAATAATCAGCGACAAATGTTTAAAATAATTTAAATGACATTGGATCCACATAAATCATTTAATTAGTGTTTAGATATTTTAAAAATACAAAAAAAGAAGAAGTTGTTAATGGATATGTATAAGAAATTTTCATACTCCATATATATACATATATCTTCATTGATTTTTCTCTTTAACAGTTTCCACTAATTAATAACCAAAATTTGCATTCTTGTTGTGAAATAAAATACAAATAACTCCAATAAACAATTCAATTCCATTACCAATAGCAACTGTAACTCTACATTAAAATATATATTTTTTTAAAAAGGTAAACGTAAAACAACACTCCATTTTTTCAAAAGAAATAAAATCAATAACTACAACAACAACAAAAAGTTGTTAATAAAATAAAGGGGGCGTGAATTTCACTCATGTTAGAAACACCCAATAAACAATTATGGTCAGCAAAGATAGAGAATTTCACTTTTATAAGGTTCAAAAATATAAATCAATTTTTTTCGCCAACAGACAATGTAATTACCAATGCATATTCCAAGAATATGTATCCGTAAAATCTTGAAGAAAGGAACGAAACATCATGCCTTGTCGTAGAATGGCTGGGTTCCGGGTGGTGAGTGCGAATAAGAAAAAAAGGTTAGAAGAAAACCTCAATGGAAAAAGATGAAAGAATAAAAAGAAGAAATTAAGAAGAAATATGTTATCTAGTCATACATAGAAAGCAGCTCCATATCTTCATCTGTTAGACTGTTACCACTGTTACAATTTTAACTAGGGCCAACTTACAATTTTAGCTAGGGCCCAATTATAATTACTTATATAATTATATACACGAAGAAAAGTTCTCACATTTGAGACTTAGGTTTTTGACTATTCTTTGTGTACAATAACCCAAAACACAATAGTTTAATGGACCTTCATATTTTATAATTATAGTCCTCTCATTCATTTAGTTTCATGATTGTTACTTTCAAGGGTTAAGTGTTTGTTCTTTTAAATGACACAAATTGTGTCCTTTTAGTTTTTAACACTATGTCTTAGACATAGTTATAACATGAAAAATAGTTTTTTTTTTCTCTCTCCACGTCAGCTGAAGTGACTGAGGAAATAGAAAAAAAATAATTTTTCATATTATAACTATGTTTTACAGGTAAGATATAGTGTCAAAAACTAAAAGGATATAACCTTGTGTCCTTTAAAAGGACAAATCTTTTTTCCTACTTTTAAATGTGTTTATTTGATTTAATTGGGCCCATATTTTAAAATAGGTCAACTAATCATTTTTGTGATTAAGTTTAGAAGTCTTTCTTTTTTAAAATAATAGGAGTAAGAATAAATAACATAACTGATTAGATTAAAGAAAAAAAAATATACAGGATAAAAAATAAAAAATAAAAGGTAAAACACAAAAATAACCATAAATTTATAAAAATAATAGGCCCATATTTTCACTTCTTATAACTTGTATTATTTTATTTTACTTATAAATAAATGATAACATTAAAGTTTGAACCTATAACTTTATACAATTTTTGATTATTATTTTTTTATGTTAAGTTGAAGTTTTCTTTTCTTTTCTTTTCTTTTTTTTTATTTTATATTTTTTTGCTTTTTATGTATTTAAAATTTTATTTAAAATAATTTTTTTGGCCCCGATCATTAAGTGTGCAGACATAAATAAAATTTTGTAGATGAATCACTGTTTGAATGTAACGGCTTTAACTTAAAATCTCATGAGTCGTTAGATGCAATATGATGACATGATTTATGAAATCTTAATTACTATAGGCTGAATAATATTGATTCTATAATTGTCACCAAATTGACCTTAGAATTTACTGACCAAACCTGCACTAGTTGTGTCATCATTGTACTCTATTTGAATGTTGGAGATTCAAAGGTTAAGCGAGAAATTAAAGTTGTATTGTCATTAGTTGAATAATGAAATATCTGCATATTGATGCTCTATTACTATAAGTATCTTCCATATCTAAAGCTTTGGTATACTATTAGTATTAGTATTGAATTGTTCTGATTGTTATTATTTATGATACAACAGTCTAGTCAAATTCATTCAAAATATGTAATAATAATAATAATAATAATAACATCTTATATAAAATATGTACTTAGTTGACACTTATTCCCTTGAATGTAATTGTTATTGGTTTTTAACCTGAGTAATAAATATGTGAAGTAATTACAGTTGGTCCATTACACATGGTCCAACTATTTATTAAAAAATTTGGAGTCAAGCTGAATTATGGCCCAATAAGTATAGCTCGCATGTTAAAAAAAAAAAAAGCAATTTGAAATGTAATAAATGACTATCAAATTCAAGTCCAAATAAAATAGTAGATATATGATTGTGATTCGTTTGTCAAGAAAAAACAACAAATTTGACATGGTTTGATATCTAAGATTTGAGACGTATTTTGAAAGATTTAATTATAATCGGGCGATCTCGTAATTTTTGATCTGTGAAGATACGTTGTTTTTTTAATTTTAGAATATATCTATCGTTATATTTATTTTTGGGATTTTAAAATTTGAATTTTGAATCAATTTTATAATTAGTCTATAAAAGGCAATATTATTAAACCTGGCCCGGTTATTGACCCGATCAAGATATTGGGTCACTGGTTCAACCGCATGACCCGATAAGTATATGTAAATTTATAATTTATATTATAAAAATTATAAATATACTCAAGTACCTGTAAAAAATGATATCAATTCCAAATATTTTAATATGAAAAATAATAAATTACACATCATTGTCTAACAAAAGATCAATCAAATATATAATACTTGTGATATTGGTGCTTCAGGTTCAGTAGACGACATCTTTAATTATAAATCAAATCAAAATTTCCCGCAAATTGCATAACCAAGATAATATTAGTGTTGTAGACTTGTAGATACAGAACCTATGTAAGTCAATAAGCAACAAATCACTTAAAGATTTTAAAAGAAAACAAATCATTTATGCATGAGAGTGAAAACAAACCATTTGTGTATAAGAGTGAAAACAAACCATCTTGATCATTTGATTCCACTTAGATCTAATGTCTCTATTTTAAATAGATATTTAAACGGACTTTATAACATAAGTATTTTCTTTTCTAAAAAAGAGCATATTTTGACAACAAGAAAAAAAAACCATCCAAATCTTTAAAAGCATTCCAATCTTAACAAATTTTAGTCAAAGTTTGTCAAAAAAATTTAAGGGTTATACAAGTATTATGTTACAACAATTGTCCATAATTTTCCAGCAGAGATAAAAGTGAAGAGAAAGAAAATGATAGGAGAAAAAAAAAAGAAAAATTGTGGACTTGTTGTACAGTTACATGATATTAATATTACTCAAAATTTAAATAGACAATTAGTTCCAATAACACAACGCAGAACTTATTATCTAATAGCAAAACGGGGAATATTTTCCGGAGTTGATGCAGATAATCACTCTTTCCCGCATACATAATTCTAAGTCCATAATATGTGGTTTCCATGCATGCTTTGAGACACCGGCAACAGAGTATTTTTTTTTCAGCAGTAACTGCAAAAAAAAATTATTCCCCTATCAAAATTATAACAAATAAAAAGAAAATAATTGAAAAGAAAAGAAACACAACTTATCATTAACAGGGGTCTATCAGTATCATGTCAAGGAACTTTGTGGTTACCACTTGCCTCAAGTTGAAGAGATGGACCCTGGACATGGTCTAGACTATTCTTACTTCCATTCTCTGGACTTGAAAGATAATTTGATTTTTGTCGAATTGTTTTTTACCATTTTGGCATCCAACTAAATATTAAATTCTGCCCCCACCAATGATTTGGGAAATCCAATCACAAGAATCAATAGTTCATCACTATTTAAGCATAAGTACCTAAACGCACGAGGCCCAACATGTTCAATTCCAAGTCTGTTTACGTGGCACACCTGAATACCTGAGTCTGACACTTTCAAACTAGTTTATTTGCTTATATATATGCATGCTGAAATACAAACCAGAAAGTGTATCGTTTCTTAACAAATGGACTCATGAATAGAAAAATAAAATTTTCTATACCAAAGCGTGCATAAAAATTATATCCGTTACTGTTATGTCGACCTTGCACATGATCAGATTAGAATGTTTAGGACCCACTTGATTTAATGCTGAGATATAACAGCAAACAATGTTTGTAACTATCTCTATGTTTTTCTCGGTGTATCCTCTCTATACACATCACTAGTTATCAGCAATTTCTCAAATGTTCTCTTATGTAATATCATCATTTAAGCACGAACAACAGCCCCTTCATTTACCTTATCTTCACAAGTTAGGGAATCAAAGCTCACAATTTTTCTTGAATATCAAAAGATGAAGGTAAGATCCATTAGCAATCATGAATAGCATAACCAAAATCAACTATAACATCTTCTAAATTGGTTTTTGCATTTCTTTGCTGCAGTTACTTGGCTGGATGCACAGGAAGTTTCGCCAGAATAACAATGAACCGTTCAAAGACTTGGTCATTGGTAAGTCATGCCGTTAGCAAGCAACATATAATATTATGTTCCTCCAAACAATCATCAACAAAGTGATAGTCATCAAATTAGTAAACAAATAGAACATTAATGCAGAATTTATTGATCATTGCTAGACACCATATAACTTAAGATTTCCGATGACACTCCAGCACTAGCTAACGAGAACTCAAATGGTATAACTACATATGGCCACAAATATGGCCCATGAAAGCACAACAGTAAATTACCTTATTACTACATCCCTTGAAAAGCTATGAACTATATTTCAAGTATTGATAAAAAAAAAAGTGACTGACTCCAATTGGAACTTGAAAAGTAGACTGTTTCACAAGACTCCATGAACCTCTTTGATGGCTAAGTCTACGAAAATGAAAGTGTTTTCTTCTCTCCTTTGTGGAATACTAACATGAGATCAGGAGAATTCCACTTAAATGTTTTTGCCTCATTAGTCACAATTATCCTAGTTATTCCTACATTTGTTTGTGTCAGGGCATTTTTGCAATTGTCTTTCAGGGCAGCCATCACATGATGATGAACCAAACTATCACAAATCAAATTCTGGGATCAAACTTTTCAAACAAACCCAAAAAGGTCTCAACCTTAGAAAATCCTTTGCTGGTTTAGAAGCAGCAACTGCAGATGACGACTATGAGGGAGATTCATCTGCTGCTATGTATGATATCTTTCCTGGCTTCTTGGCAATTGGAACACTTGGTTCAGAGCAAGTTATTTCTCACCCATCAACACCAACATTTGGCATCTCTGTTGAGAGTATAACCGAAAAAGAAGATGAAGTCACTGAGAATGATCTGAAGCTCATCAATGATGAGCTAGAGAAAGTGCTAGGAGCTGAAACTAAGGATGATGTCAGCACTGATTCATCTGGCAGAAATAGCCTTGTTAGCACTGGGAGAACTAGTCATGTTAGCACTGGGAGAAATAGCCATGTTAGCACTGGGAGAAATAGCCATGTTAGCATAATAACACTAGGTGGAAAGCCAACAGAGGGCACAGAATCAAATGGGAATGGAACTGCAATTTGTCCACTACAGGGATATCTCTTTGGAACAGCTATTGAAGTATCCGAAACAACCACAGTGTCAAAGAAAGAGCACAGGATATCACTTGGGGAGCTGTTTCAAAGAAGCAAAGAGGAGAATTTTAGTGCAAAATGTGAAAAGGAGGATAAAAGAACTGAGAGAGAAGCAGATAAATCTGCCCTGAACCTGATGAAAGAAAAGCTGAAAAAAAGAATGTTCCATGCTTGTTCAAGAAGTTCTACCTCAATAAGTGGTGGGCCTATTGATTCTGCTTCAGCAGAGACCAAACTGAATAAGGTTTAGTCCACCATGATTTTCTATTTACTCTTGATTATCCTTAATAGAATAAATATATTACACATCACCATAATCTTTGGTAAAAGCACTTATTATCAATGAATTCCATTAAAATTTTATAAAAAGGTTTTAGCATTGGCCGTCAAACAAAGTAACCAGCATCCTTCATATTAACATCACAGCTTTGCATTTTAATGTTCTTTTTTCCCCCATATTGTCTCCCTTTCCACAACCTTTCCCTTTTTTCTTTTTTGCCTTTATTAATATTTTTTATTTATTTATGTTCCTAGTCTTGGAAGATCAATAGTATTTATTATTCTGGTCATGACTTCAGCTGTGTTTGCCATTATAACTTCTTGTTGTGGCTTTATTAGATTCTCCATATGTTCCGCAAGAAAGTTCACCCTGAAAGTTCAACAGCTGCTCAAAAGTTTGCTAAGCACAGAAAGAATGAGAACAAGAAGAAAATAATCAATGATGGAGGCCATAACAAAGGAGACTTGGTGCATCCAAAGGAAGATTCATCTGCGAGCAGGGAGCACTGGATCAAAACAGATGCAGATTGTAAGTACCCAATAATTTTCTACAGGCCTATCTCACAGTAGATTTTCACATATATCTATAAACTCATTGTAGATTTTCATAATCCACTTGATGAAAGCAACAAACAATTGTTACATAGCAAATCATTTGGACCTCTATCACATGCACTTCTTACATTTTACAATGAATTGTTAGTTTTTTTTTTTTTTTTTTTTTTTTTCTTATGTTACATTTTACAACCTCCCACATCATTATTACACTTAAATCTTAAAGACTAAGTGTCGAGGCAAGTCTCACGTCGGTGGGAACTTGCTTAGGGAAGGGGATGCTTTCTTTTATAGCCTCTCTCAAGGATGTGTCCACCGATGTGGGACTTGCCTTCAACAATCTTTATTAAGGCAAGTCCCATATCGGTGGAAACTTACTTGGGAAGGTGGGGGAAAGGAGCTATAACCCCTTCCCTTATACTTACATCAAAATCTTCTTCTTCATATTATAATATTAATTGTTATAATATTATATTAAGTGTATTTTGTGACGAGTATTCCTAGTTCAAGAGAAAGACAAAAGTGATAAAAGGGGGAGATTTGCAAGTGGATTTTTACCTTAGTTACTTTGAGGGTTTGCTTTCAATTTTCTTTATTTGTTGTTATTATTCTGTGGGATGGAATCCTATTTCCTAACACTAAGGCCAATGAATTGTTTGTTTCGAATACTAATTTCTCACATGCCTACTAGTATGCCCACTTTCAGTTTCAGTCTTATGTGTTGCTTCTTCTGCCTGACTCAATTTTTTTTTTGTGCATTGCAGACTTAGTTCTAGAGCTCTGAAAGGCAAAGAAATTGAGCTGATTTTAAGCTGTTATCCTCTATTAATAATAAGTAATGTTGTGTTTGTACTATTGGTTTTATTTATCAGTGCTTGTAATTAATACTAAATATTATATGAAAAACAGCTTGGGTTGAAGAAACGAATAATTGAGGTAGTAGTCATTTCAATGTCTACCTCATAGTAGTCAGTGTGAAATGTAAGTTCTCATGCGAGATGTTTCTAATCATTCATAGATAAATTACAGTTTTATCATTTCCTTAATGTAATATAAAAGAATCTATTTCCGAATAGATTCTATTACTAAACTAACATTTAGCACATGAATTTTGTACATGCAAACGAAGTCTTATGAGAGGTTTTAAGTATTCTCCAAACAAACATTAAAAGGAAAGAAGACTAATTCTTTTGACACATACATTTCTATTATGTCCCACAATTACACACTGATAGATTGTCCAGCAATGCTTATTATCATTCAAACCAACTAACCAAGCATGCACTTAGAGTTCTTTTTTCGGTAAACGGCACTTAGAGTTCTGTTAATGAATAACATGAGTTTCTATCCAAAACCACGTAGATACCTGCCTGAATAAAAAGTTTATTTTATTTTTTATTTAGAATACATTTTTATTTGTTCATGTTCTGGAAATAAATAGAGTTCTTCAAAATTCAAGTTTGATACTGATTTTTCTGAAAATTTATTGATTAACTTAATTAAAAACTAATTTCAGTTAATAATAATTTTCAATTACATCAAATGTATCTATTTACTGTTCAAATTTTGGATAATTGCATGATGGAGTTAAACGTTAAAACATTAAACGCCCATATGGAAAACACTATCTTTCACATCCAAACTCTGATTTGAGTGTATGAGGACATGTTTAGAAACATGAGATATTCTCTATCATGTCATGATGCTTTCGATATGACTCAAATCATGACTTTTAGTTAAAAACTTACAGGACTTTTATACAAAAGGTAATCCTGAAGAAGAACTTATCTTTGAAATTTAATCATCCTATGTTAATTATTTACCTAATCATTCATGTTTGTTTTCCGTTATCCTCATCCGTTCACCTTTTCAATAATGATGGATAAAGATAATGGGTAAACAAACGTTAATTGGGGAAGGTTGATATGTGACGACAAAGTATTATTGCATTCAATTAATAAAGTTTGTCAAACAATCCAAAAGATGAAGTACTTAAAATACTAAGAGAGTTTTTTCTCCTCCAAAAGCTATTTTTTTTAAGAAAAAGAAAAAGTATTTTTCAAAAAAAAATCTGTTTGGATATTTGCTTTTAAAAAAAGAGTAGAAGTTATAATATTTATTCTGATTTGAAATAATATTCAAGATAATTGAATATTGCACGAAAATTAAAGAAGATATAGAAGATATCATAAAGAGAGAAAAACATAGAATCAAGTAAAGTTTAGGAAATATTTTATCTTTTTAGATTTCATGTAAGAGAAATAAAATATTCTTTGCAAAAGATTTGATTAGGATTGTATTGCATAATAGAATAAAATATTTAAGTTTTACATATATTTTTTATTTGAAAAATCAGTAATCTTATTTTTGAAAATTACATTTAAAATTTCATTTAAAGGGGTGTTTGGTAGGAGGGGAAATTTTTTTTGCCAAAAAGTAAGGTGGGGAAAATCATTTGCTCATATTTAGTAGGAAGAACAATAAAAATAAGGTTAGAAAAAAAAAATTCCATCATTTTAATTTACACTGAAAAAGTGATATTCCTAGAATCCTGGATCTTGGGAAAATTATAAATATTTTTGGGACAAAATTGCCTTTCCTTTTCTGGACATTTCTTACACACTGCTCTTCATAACGAGGTCTTCACTCTGCTGCTCACCACCGCATGCGAAATACCCAGCCACTTGAAGCTTCTCTCCGGTAAGTTTTCTTCTCTCCGCCGGCGTGACTGTCGTTTCTGGTTTGTGATTTATCTGGGGTTATGTATTTTTTTTTTACCTTTTTGTTAATTAATAACGTTGTTTTTGGGGTTATTGATGAACATATTCAGATCCCTATTTATGTCTTTCTTTGCACTTAATATTCAGATCCAATTGATCCAAAGAAGTCAAAGTTTCTTTCTTGTTTGGTTTGGAATCCACTTCTGGTCTCGTGGTTAGCACCCTTTGCGTTCTCGTGGATGGAGTTGTTTTGGATTTTTCATGATCATATTTTGCTCATCCAGGACTTTCAGCTTGGAGAGACAGCTAGAACCTTACCTTATTGTCATCACATGTTTCACCTACCTTGTATAAATAAGTGGCTCTTTAGGCATGGTTCTTGCCATTACACAGAAGGGATCTGTAATTTTGTATATGCATATAACATTGACAGTAAGAAAAATCTTAAAACATTTTTCGATTAAAAGTATTATTTATCTCAAATTGCTTGTTATTTTTAAAAATCCAAAATACATAAATTATTATTCACTAAATCAACCTAAAAAAAATAAACGGTTTAATATCAAACGGGGAATAAGTAGTTAAAATATCTGTTGTGTATAATAAACCTCATAATGTTTATAATATCGTTCTAGAAGAAAACAGCAAAGGTGAGGTTATATTTGTAATATCACACTAGATTCCCAGTAATTTTTTACAATAAACTAAATATAGACTCAGTAAATTTGATTTAATATTTCCGGTAAAATTTTGCCCTACTAAACAACATTTTTGTCACATTCCCGGAATATTTACTTTCTCAGAATATTCTTGGTAATTGTGATTCCCAAGCAAAAAAAATTTTCTCTTGTACCAAACGTCTCCCGACGATTCCCATGGCAGAATACCTTCCAAGACATGGATTTTTTTTTCCACGCGGTGGAAAAATAATCATTCTTCACTTAGACCAAAATACCTTGACCCATCACCTTCATTCAAAATCATCAACCCTCTCTCTCTCTCCACAACCAAGTCTTTCTTTTGTTTTTTCCCTCATCCTATCATCTCATCATCCACAACAACCCCAAACTTCACACCACCAACTCCTAGCCACCGCCAAAGGCCACACCAACAACTTAGTTGCAATAAGCAATGGAGTCATCAAGTCCCTAATCATTTTTGGTGACATGTTATTCAGTGCTCACCAAGAGCACAAAATCTGAGTTTGAAAAATCGAAACCAATAATCAAAATCAATGATATCAAGCATAGCCACCCTTCCCACCCTTAAAGATCGGTTTTATTCCAAGAACTACGTTGAGGTTCAGAGGCACAAGAACTGCCCATAGGTTCATCACCGTGACATTGTTCTACTCTTGCTCTGTCCCATGACAAGTCTCTCCCTTACCCAAGAAGTTGGATAGAGAGAGAGAAAGCAAAGGTAAATGAAGGCAAAGAAAAAAATGATGCCTTGGGTGTGAGAGAGAGAGAAAGCTAATGTAAAATGAGACAAAAAGAGATTAGGGTAATTTTGTAATTTCGATCCATATTTTAAGCAATATTTTATCATCAACCAAATATAGCATAGTAAAAATAATCCAACATTTTCGAAAAAAATTTGGTCTACCAAACACCTTTTAGTAACTTAAACGGAAAAAAAATATCCCACCATATTTCCAGAAATTATTTTTTCGGTAAAAAAAAAATCTACCAAACGCCTCCTAAGGGTAAACGATTTCTGATTATTTTTTGGAAAAAAATTCAAATTTTAATATTATATCTTTTGGGCTTTTAGGAAAGAGAAAATGTTATTATTATAAATAGGGTTCATTGCATATTATTCATGAGAGAAGAATATACAGGAAAGAAAAGAGAATTAAATTGTCAAGATTAGGATTCATTCTTTTGGATTTTTTTTAGGTTAAAATGAATAATTTGTTCATGTATTTTTACCGAGTTCAAATTTTAGTTCCTCTGTTTATTTTTATTATATATCAATTCTTATATTTTCACTCATTTAGATTCTGGTCATTATCATTAAAATATTAATCCTTGTGTTTCCTACTCTTATAGTTTGTACTCAATAAGATACTTGATGCCTATTTATCATGAATAATTAATTGGTCCATTTGATTTTAAATTATGAAGGTATACAATCCAAATAAATAAAATCATAAGAACCAACATTAAAAATATATATAAGTACCAAATTTCAAGCCGAGTGAAAGTATAAGAACTAATTGTTTATTTTAACAATTTTTATATCATCATTTAGTATAGTTTTAACCCAAAATGATAAGCAAAATGTAAAGTATATTTATAAGTAATTAACAAAAAAAATTATTTAAGTTATTAATTTAAAAAGAAAAATTCCGTTGAAATGTAAACAATTGAAATTTACAGTAACCTCACGTCACGAGTCACGGCAAAGTTGTTAAAATTGGAGATTGGTGATAAATTTAATACTAATGAAAATGGCAATATATTATTTTAAGCAAATACTAAAACAGCAACTTGCTACTCGCGAGTGTCAAAACGTGAGAGATGAGTTGTCCGAATCCAATAGGAAGATTCTAGAAAATTGCAAATAATAAATAATCAATAATCAACCTTTGAACTACAAGCACAATCAATTTGACATTTGTCCCTGAATCACTACATGAGAGGCCCTTTACATTTTGTAACATCTTCTAATTGTAAGTTTTAAAAAGGAGAATTGAACGAGGGCCTGATTTCTTCATTACTCATTAGATTCTTCAACCAGTCTTTTTTATCCACAGTACTCTGTCATTTTTGAACTCGGATCAGAACAGTGCGAATAAAAAAAAAAACTTGATTTTTACCTGTTGATATTGGAGGGCATGTGAATTTTACCTTTTGGTGGAATGGTAAATAAAGACATCAGAAACTATGCAGAGAAATACAATTTGCTTTTGAAGTGCAATGTGCATGTGATACAAATACTCTACATTTACATTATAGTTGTTATAAGTTCGTTGTCATCATCAAAACAACTACAATTATGTGAAATCTCAATATAATCTTTAGCTTTCTTGCCATTTTGATACCCAATTTGATGTTGCCAACTTCAAATTATTGGAGAATTAAACATGATATTGAAGTAGGGGCAAAATTGA